AAAAATAAATAAAGTTAAATAAAATAATCCTTAAGAAAAAGAATTATTTAATTTTTGGACCAGCAAATGGCGTAATGGTTACGCAGCTGGACTCCCACGTAGTTGACCACAGTTCGAGTCCCAGACCCAGTGCCTTAAAAATCATGCCAGGTATGTGTACCTGCTTGCCCCAAATCCCAACAGAACAGAGTAGAAAGGATTGCAACATGGCCATCCCCCTGGTGGGTGATTTCTCCATTTCTGTCTCTCTGTCTCTGACTCTCTGGCGAGTACATGTGCCCTATAGCAAAAAATCTCTCTTTAAAAAAAGAGAATTATTTTATTATGTTTAAATTTTACCAGAAAGAGACAGAGAGAAATGGAAAGTGAGAAAGCCAGTGGCAAGGTGCAGGACTTGAATCAGGATCAGTCATGGCTTGGTCCAGGACTTGAACCAGGACCTGTCATGTGCGATTCCTACATCATAACCACCATGCCATCTGTCAGACCCTTTTCACTTTGTGTTAAAAGTACTTTTTTGTTGTTACATAACTTACAGAGCCAACCCTGTAGCACAGTGGTTAAGCACTATGCAGGAGCTGGATCCCATATGGCTGATCATAGTTTGAACTGTGGTCCCAGAGGCTTGAAAAATATGCTGGGCAAGTATACCCACAAATGCCCAGAATTCTGACTAGATGAAATGTGGAGGGGAAGGAAGACTGAAGCACGAATAGACCCTACTGGCAGGGGGAATGTGTATTTTTTCTCTCTCTCTGGTCCATGTGCACGTTTCCTCCAGCAAAAACAACAAAACAAAAAAAGGCAAAAAAACTTTTAAAAAATAGCATCTAGATTGCATAGTATTTCAAGGTATGACATTCCATAACTTATTTAATTTTCCCCCACCATTGCACATTCTCACTAGTATAATGTTGGATTAGACCCATAGCACAGCAGTTAAACCCTGTGCATAGGGAGCCAGATCCCTCTTGTTTAATCACAGTGTGAATCTCACTCCTAGCAGCTTGAAAGACATACTGGGTATTTGTGTGAGTGAGTGCCTAAATCCCAGTGGGATGGAGAAGTGGAGGAAAAAGGATTGCAGCATAACCACGTCCCACTGAGAGGTGCTAGCTATTTCTCTCTCTCTCTCTCTGGCACTGAGAGGTGCTAGCGATTTCTCTCTCTCTCTCTCTGGCACTGAGAGGTGCTAGCTATTTCTCTCTCTCTCTGGCAAGCACACGTACCTTCTGGCAATAAAAGAAAAAAGGAAAAAAGAATGTTATGATGAATAAATGTCTAAATCAATTTTACCATTTTGTGTTAATATCCGAAATAACATATACTGGCAGAAAATACTGCCCGTAGGCCATATATAGGAGGAAGACACCAAAATAATTATAAAACCTAAAAATACAATTTTTTTAGTATTTTTTTTTACTTTTTAAAAATTTATTTACATTTAATCACACCTTTACAGAATACACACACACACACACACACACACACACATATAAATATATATATATACATTTTTTTTTTTTTGGAGAGGTTTTTGCTATAGGGTGCATGCGCTCACCAGAAAGACAGAGAGAGACAGAGAGACAGAAGGCGAAAAATCACCCCACCAGGGGGGTGGCCACACCACAATCCCTTCTCCTTCATTCTCCTCTCGGGATCTTGGGCATGCACACACACGTGCCCAGCATGGGTTTAAATCGCCTGGTCCAGGACTCAAACCACAGTCAACTACATGGGAGCCCAGCGACAAGCCATTACGCTAACTGCTGATCCCACAGTATATATTTCTTTTTCCAACACAAATACCATGCATGTCAGTCAAGACAAAGATATTACTATATATATTATCATCAGCAAATAGCTACTCAGTTGTCAATTAAGCATACTTTTATCATTTTTTCCCTCTTTTCCCTCCCCTCTTCCACACTAAACTTTTTTTTTTCATATTTATTGATTCACAAAAGATCTTACACTAAAAACATGGACAAAGCTAGAATACAGTGACAAGTTTTTTCTCTCTCTCCATTCTCCCTTTTACTAAAGAGAGATATAAACTAACTTATTTGATAAAAAAAAAACATTAGGTTAATCTCAGTTTGGTCTGCTAATTGCACAAAGCCCCATAAGAATTCAATTTCCGACGCAAGGCAACAGATACTATTGTACTATTGAACTTATGCAACTAATCATTCTGTGACAAAATAAGAATACTCACAAATATTTTCCAACTGCAAAGGGGTCAGGAAGGGAGAAAAGTTTTATTTTAAATTAAAAAAAAATCTTTTTTTAAACAAATTGTTGAACCTATCAACAACTCAAAAGAAAACAAAAATCCTTAAATATGGGAGAAAAAACATTGGAGAAAATCAGAAATGTCTTAGAAAAGTCATAGAATTCTATCTCATCAGTTCAGTCTCATATAATCTTTTGTTGAGTTTGCAGTGTTACTGTGGTCTGACTTTTCCATTAACATTCAACATTATTGATACTTTAGAACTTATCCCTATCATTAAGTTGGCCTTTTCCTTGGTCACTTTTTGTTCTCTTATTAGTCTGTTTTAGTTTTTCTGGTATAGTACTCCCTTCAGAACTTCTTGAAGAGACTGTCTGGTGTTGGTAAATTTTTTCAGGTTTTATTTATCTGAGAATGTTTTTATCTTTTCTTCCCATATGAAGGATAATCTTGCAGGATACAGTATTTTCGGTTGAAATTGTTTTTCACTTAACACTTTGAATATATTTTCCCACTCTTGCTTGTATTGTTTCTGATGAGAGGTCCAATGTTAGCCTGATGGGATGGATAGCCTTTGAAAGTAACTAGATGTTTTCCTCTTGCTAATTTTAGTATCTTGTCTCTGTCTGTGGTTTTGGTCAATCTGGCTATGATGTGCCTTGAAGATCTTCTTGGGTTGATTCTATGTGGGGTCCTTTGTATTTCTTGGGTCTAGATATTTGAATGCCTCTCTAGGTTTGGAAAATTTTCTTCCAGGATTGCCCCGACCCACAGGACAGTCAAACAGGTACCTGGGTGAGAATGGAGAAAAAGGGGACCCACACATATACAGGCTCACAGAACTCCCACAGACATACACAGAATGGAGACCAGAGGAGGTGCTGATCAAGTCTTCGTTTATTGCAGAACAAACTGTGCTTTATATACAGGCTGGTGGGCACCAATTGGTTGCCCAAAAAGAGATACAACAGTATGAGCCAATCATTGATGTGGGTGGACCTCCCACTGCCTAGCAACAGTTGGTCACATGATTTCTGAGACATGGTTTGCTCAATGAGGAAGTGAAGCCTAAGGTTTCTAAGATGGCAGACAGCTTTAAAGATGGCTTCCATAGGCAATGCCCTCCAAGAAGGATTTCATGGAGTAGATTATCAACGCCCTGTTCAGTTTCTTCACCTTCTAGAATACCAATTATCTGGATGTTTAGGCATCTAATGATATCTAATATTACTCATACATTATTCTCAATTTTTTTGGTTATTTTCTTAATCTTTTCGGTGAATTTTTCTAGGTCAGAGGTTCTGTCTTCTACATCTGAGATTCGATCTTCTGCTTGATCTAATCTGCTTCTAATACTTTCAAGGGAGGTTTTGATTTCCTGTATTACAACCTTCATCTCTAACAGTTTCATTTGATTCTTTTTTTATGGTGTGTATTGCCTTTCAGATTGTGGAAGAACTTTCTCACCTCCTGGAACTTGTCTCTTTTCTCCTGCATTTTCTGGAATCCGTAATCTCTCTTCTCTTACATCTCTGTTAGCTTTGTCACTATAAATATCCTAAATTCTTTACTTGACATTTCTACAAGTTCCATTGTACTGTCTGTGGATGATGAACGGCTGTTCTTTCCCCTTGGGTGAGAGGTATTTTCTTGCTTTCCCATATTTCTTGTGCCTCTGTGGTGGTTTCTGGCCATCTGATGGATTATATGTTACTTCCTACCTTCTTGAAGTTAATTGTTAGAGGTGTGCAGAAGGAGATGACCTGCAGTATTCCTGCAGTTCCATTTCCCTGATCTTTACCAAGAAACCTGCATTTTTGTCAATGGAACTGAATATTACAAAGGCCTCACAGTTTCAAGGAAATAGGTGCATCTGGGCTGAGCTGTGGGGTTTCAACTAAGAATTCAGAGGTCTGTGGGAGATAAGCTGTGCGTACTTTTTCACCGCTGCTCACTTTGAGGACTCTGATTTTTAGTCATTTGGTGGTACATTCAAGTTTAGCTAATTTGAGATTTCTGCTACTGTAAACTCATATGCTTCATATTACTGTGAGGTACTTCCATGCCTATTTCTCCTTTACTAATGTGTTTTGCAACATAATATCCACAGAAAGGAATTTCAATTTTGATTTATAAAGATGAGGTTCTCCCTTTCTGTACCAGTTCAGTGGGGGTTGAGGATTTCTATGACCCTAAAAGTATTCAAATGTTTTGCTACTGTGCCTCTAGACCTGCCTAGACACTCAATGTGTGGAAGGTGAGAAGGAAGGTTAGAAAGTTGGGTAAAAGAAATAAAACAAAGGGAGAAAGACAAAAACAAACAAAACAAAACACTAAAAAGGGGGAAAAACAAATATTTTTTAATAAAAAGGCAAAAATAAAATGAGTATCAAGTGTGCCATGTGAAAGGGGCAGAGGCCTTCCAGTTAAAGGGGCAGGGCTAGGCCCACCTCAGATGCACATGGATTCTGAATTAGCAAGAGAAAGGAGAGACAAGAGACAGTATCTACAGATTTAAAACACACACACACACACACACACACACATATATATATGTATATATGAAAAAATTTCAAAAGAAAGCGGGGACCAGCATTTAGCGTAATGGCTATGTGGGAAAGACATTAAGAGGGCACACTAGAAAGAGCTCCGTGGTTTGTGGAGTGGAGAAAGAAACGGGAAGGGACACAACCTTCTTGCAACTGGCCTGCCTGAAAGGGACAGCACCTTTTACAGATTCCAAAAACTTCCTCTCCGCACCCCTTCACCAACATTCCCAAAGTCCAAACATGGAAACTACAACTACAACAGATAACCAGTCTGCCGGTTTCTTTCTAATGTGGCCTCATTCTTTTATTTTAAATAATCAGTTATTTTTTAAATTGTTATTATTACTATTTAATTTGCTATAGAACATGTGCGCTCACGGGGATGGGGGTTAGGGTGGTAGGGAACGTGAGAATGCCGCCAGGTCCGGGACTTGAACCAGGGTAAAACATGTGGGAGTTCAACGCCGAAACCACCACCACGCCAGCTGTCCCCCAGCCCCCAATCCCATGTGTTTTCATTCTGCATTTGAAACTCCTGAAATTCTCAATACATTAATAAACCGTTTCATGCTAAGATGTGGCACACCAAGCCCAGAACCTTCCTTAGGGTAGTAGAACGTGGAGGTTGAACGCAGGCACCGGCGGCAGGGAGATAAAAGACGGAACTCCCGCTTCTGAAGACTTCCCCTAGTCCAGCTCGCCAGGAGTTGGCCACAAAGACTCCCGTCCCAGGCCCAAGGTGCGTCTGGAAGCTCGCCGACCCTTCGCCCCGCCACCGCCCCGTACGCGAACGAACACCTCCGTGCTCCACCTCCCTTTCGCGTCTCTTCACCTTTTTTCCTAGTCACTTCCGGCTGGTTCCCATCCTTCCCCAAAACTCCACCTCATCCTTGTTCCGGTCCTCACCTGAATCCCTTTCTCTAACGCTGACTCCAATGCTTAGAGATAGTAGCTAGGGAACCTGGCAGTGGAACTGCATCTTGGGACAAGTAGTCCTAGCTAATGGGAGCAAGGGAAAACTACAATTCCCAGAAGGCACTTTCACTTCCCTTTGCCCCAAGGCCCCGCTCAAACCGCCCTCTAAGAGACCCTCTTAGCCACGTGGCCTGCTTAGTAATAGCCTTTTAAAAACAATTTAAAGGGATTTAAATATACCATCTCGAGAGCACTGCGACGTTCACCGTGAGGAGTAAACCCGGGCTGCAGAGCGGAGGACCGCGGTCACCACCGAGTCCGGCACTGGGTTAGACAGCCGCTCCGACGGCAGGCGGGTCTTGAACGGCAGTCAGCTATGTGGGAGTCCAGCACCTTAACCACCATGCCACCTGCTAGCCCCAGAGATAAACAAACTTCAAGAAAAGGAAATCTGGAGTGCGTGCTGTTTGGCCGCTCTCCGGCCCCGTTCTGGGGGGGGGGGTCTTCCTTTACTGAAGCCCCCGGCCTAACCTGTCTCTTCCTCTTCCTCATCCCCAGGTGGGATCGCCACCAAGATGCAGATTTTCGTAAAAACCCTCACAGGGAAGACCATCACCCTCGAGGTACGGGCCCCGCGCGGGTGCAAGCCAAGGCCTCATTAAGGTCTTTAGGTGGATTTCAGGACCCGGGCTGCTTTCCAAGCCTCCGGGCGTGCTTCCGAGGTTGAGTTTTGAAATTATGCCCCGAGTAGAGGGTAGTTTGCTGCACAAGGGTTCGGGACTGGCTTGCGGTGCCTAAAGTCTGGGCCTGTAACTCTCGAGTGATGCGGCCGATACGCCAAAATGGGGCCGGCGTCAGAGAAGAACACACACCTCGCCGAGCTGGCGCGAGCACGTGTGGCTCCGCTATTGCCGCCTGCCTAGGCCCGGGAGGACGCCGATTGGGTGGGTGGCCGGCCAGTTTTCTTGTGTAGGCTTCAGTCCCCCACCCTGTTCGGTGCTGTGGTAATTGCCAAGTTTAACTGAGTGAGTGTTCCCTCTCGAACTTGTAACCAATGTGCTTGCATTTTTTAAACACAGGTTGAACCGTCGGATACAATAGAAAATGTAAAAGCCAAAATCCAGGATAAGGAAGGCAAGTAATATTTGGTAGTTCAGGAAAATCAACCTGTAGAGACAGGAACTAGGTATATCTGCCCTGGGGGTGGGAGTAGGGAGGAGTCAGATTGAGAAAGAATTCTTTTGGAGGAATATTATAAATGCTTACCAGCCTGCTTAGACTGGAATCTCTGAGATGGAGTTTACAGTGCCAGTTGGGACTTTAATTCTCTATACCTGTTTCCTTGTCTCTAAAACTAGGTTGTTAATATTATCAAGTATAAAGATTGTCATTAAGATAAAATGCAATGAAACTTGTAAATATCCAGAACCATGCCTGTTCTGTAGGAGGAGTTAAGTGATGACTACTAGTACCAATGATTTGATTCAGAATTGTTACTCTGTAAATGTTAAGCAGATATCACTTGTTTTGCTGCAACTTTATATTGAGTTTTTTCCATAGGAATTCCTCCTGATCAGCAAAGACTGATTTTTGCTGGCAAACAGTTGGAAGATGGGCGTACTTTGTCTGACTACAACATCCAAAAGGTCTGTTTAGAGGAAAGAGCAGCACCTTAAAAATAAACATTAGGACATTTTGACACAGGTGGGGAATATGCATGTTAGCAATTGGTTCCCAGCGACTCCATTCATATTTTAGAAGCACTACTATAGTTTCTCACATTCCAGATTTTGCAGGTTGCATCCCATGGTGTAATTTAATGTAATCTTTAGTCTCCTCTAAACTAGTTTATAATTAGACACAGATGCTTCCCTGACCTAACAGTGGTCTGACTGACCCTTTTTTTTTTTTTTTTAACTAAATGATGGTAAAAAAGTGATGACAATCAAAACTGTACTTTTGAGTTTCCAGTGAAACTTTATTACAATAACTTTATCATAGAATAAGCTTTGGGGCTGGCTCTATGGTGCAGCAGTAAAGTGCTGCTCAAGAAAAGCAGGCTCCTACATGGCAGCCCTGGTTTGATCCCAGCACCATCAGCTGTAACATGCCAGGCTTGCAACTGCAGGTCCCCCTGGGCTAAAAGACTGGTAGAGGGGGGTCTCAGTATGACCAGGCTCTAGAGGGTGCCCATTTCTCTCTCAGATGCACTTGTGCTCTCTCATGATTAAAAGAAAGTTGAATAAAACATTTGTTAGATGATTTTGCCCAGCTCTAGGCTAATGAAAGTTCTGAGCATGCCTAAGTTAGGTTAGGCTAAGTTAACCATGTTTAATGGGTTAAGTATGAAATGTATTCTCTACTGAAGGTACTTTAAACTCACAGTGGGTTTATCTGGATGTAATCCCATTGTAAGTTGAGCACCTGTACTACTATTACATGGGCAAAATACCTCATATGTGCTGTTGTACTTAATTAAGAGATGTGTGATAGTTGGTTTTAATGCATCATGAAAGCCTCTTTGGTCCTTGTTGCATTAATAGGAGTCCACGCTTCATCTTGTGTTGAGACTCCGTGGTGGTGCTAAGAAAAGAAAGAAGAAGTCTTACACCACTCCCAAGAAGAATAAGCATAAGAGAAAGAAGGTCAAACTGGCTGTCCTGAAATACTATAAGGTGAGCTAGCTGAAATCTGTCCGGTGATAGGCAAAGTATCAGCAAAGGCATTTATTTGGAAACCCAATTATAACTAGTCAGTAATTGGACTTGAATATCCAGTATTGCCTACTTTGGGTTCTGGAAATGAGACTGGCAGAGTTCTATTTGTTTTTCCTGTTTGATATGTGAAAGAACTTATATAATGGCTCATCTTCAGCTACTTGTTCCAACTAGGTGGTCTTAGTTTCATCTACCACTTTGCAAAGGTGGACTTTATTGTACAGATATCTAATTATTTCTTGAACTACTTGTAATTATTGGTGAGAACTTGGGGTGTGCTTTAGTTTAAACCACTAAATACCACCAGTGTGGTTAAAGGGTTAAAAACTGTTAAGTGTAGTAGCATGTGCCTATAATCCCAGCTACAGCAAGAACTGAGGCATGAGGGTCATTAGTTCAAGGCCAGCTTGGGCAAGGTAGCCGTACTGCCACTTAAAAGAGAAATGGCCTGCCCTTGGTGACACAGTGCAATACAGGAGCCATGTGGGTTCAGATTCTAGGTCAACTTCAGTACATTCATGGTCATGGAAAGCTGGGGTTTTAAGTATGGTAAGACCAAGTCAAGTTTTTCTCAGGAGCAATTTTCTTAAACGTGTTCAGTCAATTAATTTAGACTACAGAATATGTTGTAAAATTATCCTTTCATTTTCAGGTGGATGAAAATGGCAAAATTAGCCGCCTTCGTCGGGAGTGCCCTTCAGATGAATGTGGTGCTGGGGTTTTTATGGCCAGCCATTTTGACAGACATTATTGTGGCAAATGTTGTCTGACTTACTGTTTCAACAAACCAGAAGACAAGTAATTGTTTATGAGTTAATAAAAGAAAGGAACTAACCTTTAAATGTTGACTTTTATTGAAGTGATTTTTAAAAATGGTTTGGGGGGGGACCAGCAGATGGAGTAATGGTTACATTGCTGGACTCCCATGTAGTTGTCCATGGTTCAAGTCCCGGACCTGGTGGCTTAAAACTCAAGCCAGCCATATCCAGCATTTGTACCAAGAATCCCAAGAGCAGAAAAGGGATTGCCGTATGCTATATCCCACAGGGGTGATGCTTTCTGTCGCAAGTCTCTTTTGGCAAGTTCACGCATCCTATAACAAAAATCTCTCTTAAATTAAAAAAGATGGTTTCTGGGGCTGACACTACAGTTCAAATCCTGGACCCAGGGGCTTGAGAAACACTCCAGGCATGTGTGTGTGTGCCCAACATCCCAAGAGGAGAGAGAGCTGTAACCACAAGAGAAATGGAGAAGGATTGCAGTGTGGCCATTCCCCATGGGATATGCTTTCTCACGCTTTTCCTCTCTGGTAATCTATATGCCCTCTGGCAAGTTTTTAAAGGGGTTTTGAAAATTGGATCAATGGTCAGTTAGACCACTTCCTCATGCTAATGCCTCATATGAACATTGCTTCTAGGGATTGTGTGACCAGTTATTTCTCCCAGCTGCCCACATAGAAAACTATCAAACTACCTATACAGTTGGCACTTCCTTTCCAGGATTTCTGCATCCACAGGTTCAAGCTACAGATCAAAAATACTTTTATGTACAATTAGAATAGTACAGAATACTTGTATTAATAAGCAATATTGAGATTTTGGTGTGTGGGTATGTATGGGTTATAGTCAAATGTGTGTATATAAATATCATTTTATAGAAGGGCCTTAAGCATCTACAGATCTTGTTGCCTGCAAGGAATCGAAGAAATTTTGTGGATATTGTTAGTGACGACTACTTTGGCAGAAGAGTTGTGTTTATTGTTAGCTGTTTATAAGCAAGCCAGTTCGTACCTATCAGTTCTTCACCTCAGCACAACAGACTTACTAAACCAGGTAATACTTTGTGGTGGGAGCTGTCCTTTGCCTCAAGATTATGGACAGCATCCCTGGCCTCTACCCCTCGATGCCAGTATGCCCCTTTTGACAACCTCCACACAGTACCACATCCAAAAATAAATTGCCAAATGACCCCTGGGGGTGAAAATATGCCAGACAGAACAGTCTGTGTTTGTGTAATTGATAAAGACCTTGCCTTGGACTACTTTCATACTTGGGAAATGGAAAGGCTGAGTTCAAGCTGATGACTGAAAAATTCATTTTGAATACCTGAGAGGTTTCAGTGGGATGTTTTCTCTGCAAGGAAACATGACTTACTATTGAGCATAAACTCTTGGGGAAATTAAGATTCAGGACTAGCAGATGGCATGGTTACATCGCTGGATTCCCAGATAGTCTAGTGCAGTTCAAGTCCCAGACCCAGTGGCTTAAAACTTGTGTGTGCCCAAAATCCCAAGAGGAGAATAAAGAGATTGCAGCATGGCCATCCCCCCTGGGGAATTTCTCGCTTTCTGTCTCTGAGTCTCTCCAGTGGGCACACATGCAGATCTCTTTAAAAAGGTTTAATGTTTTATTACTAAGGATGAATCCCTAGAAAGGAAAGATTACTCCCTTGTTAACACTGAAAAAGTTTTTTTTCCTTTTTAAGAGGTATTTGCTCTAAGGTGCATGTGCTCGCCAGAGATACAGAGAAAGTGAGAAATCACCCCCCGGGGGGATGGCCACGCAGCAATCCCTTCATTCTCCTCTCTGGATCTTGGAGACGCATGCACACACGCCTGGCGTGAGTTTAAGCCACCAGGTTGGAATTGAACTGTGGTTGACTACATGGGAGTCCAGCGACAGCCATTACGACAGCCATTACGCTAACTGCTGGTCTCTGAAAAAGTTTTAATCAGTACTTAATTGGTATTTTGTTCATGGAATTCAATTCAGGGAGGATTAGTTTGCTTGGTACCATTTTTAACTAAAGCATAATGTGGGGAACTTTTTTTTTTTTGAGAGGTTTTTGCTATAGGGCGCGTGCGCTCGCCAGAGAGAGACAGAGAGACAGAAAGTGAGAAATCACCCCCCAGGGGGGATGGCCATGCCACAATCCCTTCTCCATTCTCCTCTTGGGATCTTGGGCACGCACGCACACACACCTGGCATGAGTTTAAGCCATCGGGTCTGGGACTCAAACCGTGGTCAACTACGTGGGGGTCCAGTGACATAGCCATTACGCTAACTGCTGGTCCCTTTTCTTTTTTTCTTTTTTTTGGAACATTTATTAAGCTCGAATTACTAAGTTCTGTGATAATGCTAATTCCTTTTTATATATTGCTGGTATTTTCCCTCCATGATTACTTGGAAGTATCCATAAATGACGTTTCTCATTTTTGTAGCACTTTCACAGTTCATTCTGAGGTATATTCACCCATGGTAGAAAAACTAAAGGTATTTTTTTTAACCTGTAGCTGTGAATTTTTATCTTCAATAAAGCAAAACTATATAATAAATTGCTACATAATAAATAAGATATTTAGTCATTTACATTTTTAATGTAACTTTAAAATCCTGGATCCCAAGAAGTCTTGGTTAGAACTTCCTTTTCTTCATAGCACACAATTTCGTCTCCCACTTTAAATTCTATTTTTTCTTCATCTAAACTGAGACCACAATCCATTCCAGTTCTGATAACTGAAACATCATCTTTATGGTGTTTCAGTGAGGTTAAGGAGCCTTTAAAAAAAAAAAAAAAAATTACAATAAAATTCTTGCGAACTTTCAGTCCTGTCACGTTAAATGATAGAGCTAAACAGAGAAATCTGTAAACAACATTTGACTTGTGGCAAAAAATCCTAAACATCTATTTCTTCCTTTTTCTATTTTAAAAAAATTCTTTAATTTTTAACTTACTCATTTATTTTAATTTGACCAGAGAGAGAGACAGTGAGAGAGAGAAAGTGAGAAAGCAAGCCACCAGGTCCAGGACCGGAAGCGTGGTCGACCATGTGGGAATGTCCAGTGCCTTAACCACACCACCTGCTGATCCCCTAAACATCCTATTTCTAAAATAGATTATTTTTGGGAACCAGCAGTTAGCGTAATGGCTATGTCGCTGGACTCCCACGTAGTCGACCGCGGTTCGTGTCCCGGACCCGGTGGCTTAAAACTCACGCCGGGCACGTGTGCGTGCGTGCCCAAGATCCCAAGAGGAGAATGGAGGAGAGGGGATTGCGGCGTGACCATCCCCCCTGGGGGGTGATTTCTCGCTTTCTGTCTCTATGTCTCTGTCTGTCTGGCGAGCGCACGCGCCCTACAGTGAAAATCTCTCAAAAAAAAATAAAAAAATAAAAAATAAAATAGATTATTTTTTTTTGCCGAGGATGAGACTGCACTCTGAACTTAAATGGGAGAAAACAAGGCATTGCAGGCAAAAGGTCAAGTTATAAAATAATAAGAATAAGTATAATGTATATAAGTGTAGGAGACATAGCTATAAAGGCAGTTTGGGGCCAATTTTGAAAAGCTTATAAAATCAGACTGGGGGGACTGGCTGATGGCATAATGGTTATGTCACTGGACTGTGCTTTGAGTCCTGGACACGGTGGTTTAAAACGCATGCCAAGTGCATGTGTATACGTGCCCAAGATCCTGAGAGGAGAAGGGATTGCGGCATGGTCATCCCCCTAGGTAGTGATTTCTAGCTTTCTATCTCTGTCTCTCCGGCAAGTAGATTTTTGCACCCTATAGCAAAAATCTCTCTTTAAAAAAAAAAAAAATCAGACCAGGGAACTAACTCCTGGAATAAAGCAGTAGGAAGGGAGCTCATCAACTACAGACCGTTTATGAGTTACAGCAATAAGAAATGACCCAGGACTGGCCGCATGGCCTCGTGGTTAAGGGATCCCACACTTCATTTTGAATCCTGACCCCGGATCAGGTGTGTGTCCCAATAGGTACAATCCCAACAGGATGGAAAAATGGAGAAGAGATTGTGGCATGACCATACCCCATTGGTGAACACACCCTTCTTCTGATGAACACACATACCCACTGCCAATTATTTTATTTTTTTTGGAGAGGTTTTTTTGCTATATGGCCTGTGCACTTGCCAGAAAGAGAGACAGAAAGTGAGAAATTACCCCCAGGGGGAATGGCCAAGCTGCAATCCCTTCTCCATTTTCCTCTTGGGATCTTGGGCATGCATGCACAAGTGCCGGGCGTGAGTTTAAGCTACTGGGTTCGGGACTAGAACCGTGGTCAACTACATGGGAATCCAGTGACGTAGCCATTACGCCAACTGCTGGTCCCCCCACTGCCCAATATTTAAAAGAAAGAAAGAAATGGCCTAACCTAGGGTTATGGGAGTTAATTATGAACAAATTTCACACAGTTACATAATCAACAGGTTTTGGTGATTCAATATGACATTATGAAATAGATTTTGATGTTACTTACCCTTCCAAATAACGTGTCCATTACGAATTAATTTGAACTTTTTTTGCTTTTCTAACTGTCCCCTTTGGACTCTGCAGCCAGCCACAGGAACTTTTTTCTTCCCTTCTGTTATAGAGAACGTAGCTAGTATAGAAGCCTCACCTTTAAAAGAAGAGAACATTAGTGTACAAAAACTAAAGATTATGAGACATACACAATTTGCAACATTACACAATGCAAGAAATATGTGAGAAAAATATGTACTCAGGCACAGAAAGAAGTCATGGTTTCTTTGACTCCATTAACTTTACTTTCCTAACCAGTATTAAAAATAAAAACACATGAACATCCTTGGGTATTCCTGACTGCTTCATAGAAACCTCATTTTTAGCTTTACTTAAATTTATTTTCTTAAATAGATCATCTATCATTACCTGATTTTTTTTTCTTTCCTGTTTTTTTAAAATAATTATTTAATTTTATTTATTCACTCATTTATTTTAAATTGACCAGAGAGAGATACACAGAGAGAGAGGAAGAGTGAGAAAGCAAACTACCAGGTCTGGTATTTGGACCATGGTCGGCTATGTGGGAGTGTACAGCGCTTTAACCACCACGCCACTGACTGGTCCCCACCTGATTTTTTTAAAAGAGATTTTTGCTATAGGGCGGTGCACTCACCAGAGAGAGAGAAAGTGAGAAATCATCCCCCAGAGGAGATGGTTATGCCACAATCCCTTCTCCTCCACTCTCCTCCCAGTATCTTGGGCACACACATACATACACCCGATGTGAGTTTTAAGTCGCCAGGTCCTGGACCTGAACTGCGGTTAACTACATGGGAGTCCAGTGCCATCTGCTGGTCCCACCTGACTTATTTTTTATCTCACACTATTTACACCCACTGAAGAGCACTAGTTTTTTTTTTATAAAGAATTATTTAACTTTATTTATTATTATTAGCATTATTATTATTTTCCAGTTTGATCAGAGAGAGACAGGGGGAGAGAGAGAGAGGAAGTGAGAAAGCAAGCCACCAGGTCCAAGACTTGAACCGTGGTCGGCCATGTGGGAGGGAGTCCAGTGCCTTTAATCACCATGCCACTTGCCAGCCCCAAATAGTACTACTTCTATGACTTGTTTTTTTCATTGACTGGAAATTAAATTCCAGTAATAAAATTATCACACACATAAAATAATATACTAATTTTCTAGGGTGTTATTCAGTGTTATTTGTTAGCATTACTTGACTAGTGAGTTTGGTTACTCCTAAACATTCTCTCAGTTTCCCAAATTACTTTTAGCATAAGAATACACAAATCTCTATATTATCATGTTTAGCAGACAAGGAAAGCCTAAAATCTATACAGACCATCACAAGGAAACATCAGACTAATCCAAATTAACATACATTTTATAGAGCTGTTGGCCTATATGCTTCAAAAATGTCAAGGTCAAGGGACCAGCAGTTGGCATAATGGCTATGTTGCTGGACTCCCATGTAGTTGACTGCGGTTCAAGTCCTGGACCCAGTGGCTTAAACTCATGCCGGGCGCATGTGCGTGCGCGCCCAAGATCCCAGGAGGAGAATGGAGCAGAAGGGATTGCAGCGTGGCCATCCTCCCTGGGGGGTGATTTCTCGCTTTCTGTCTCTCTCTCTCTCTGTCTGGTGAGTGCATGCGCTCTGTGGCAAAAACCTCTCCAAAAAAAAAAAAAAAGTCTAGGTCAAAAAAGACTAAGTTTGAAGAACTGTTCCAGATTAAATGAGACTAAAGAGAATCCATGATCCTGAGTTAGGGGAAAACTACATGTTATATCCATAAAGCACACTGTTGGAATAATAGACAAATGTTTTTTTAAAAGACTGGGTTAGATAATAGTACCATAAATGTCAAATTTCCTGCATTTAATCATTGTCCCCTGGCTTTATAAGAGAATGTATATTCTTGTGCTTAGCAAATAAACACATTTAGAAGTAAATGAGCATAATGGCTTAAATTTAACTTCAAATTGTCCCTAAAAAAAAAAAAAAGTGTGTGTATGGAGTGATAGAAGAATAAGGCAAGTAGGACAAAATGAAAACAATCAGAAAATTAGGAAAAGGGTAAATGGAAATACTTTTTTCTTTTGCAATTTTTCTGAAAATTTTGTAAAATTACAGTTACGTGCTGCATAATGGCATCACATTCGAGGAGAGACCACATATACAACAGCAGTAACAATAGGGTATATATACCATGCTGCTTGGGCGTGTAGTAGGCTATACGACCTAGGGCAGTGTAAGTACATTCCAAGATGTCTGTATCACAAAACCGCCTATCAATGCATTCCTCAGATCATATCCCTCCATTAAATGATTTGTGACTATATTATCAAAATTAAAAGTTGGCGAAATATGCCTGGGCTGGCCCAGCCATGGTAGCATAGGCAGTAATGAACTGCTGCAGTACTGAAAGCCACACTGCCAAAAAGGGTTCAGATCCTGAGTTGACCTGAAAAACACCAGCAGCATATACCCACGATCCTGACTGGCTGAAGGGCTGGGGAAACGGAATCACAGACTGATGAGACCTCATTGAGGGTACTTTTTCTTTCTCTCCCATGAAAGAAAGAAAAAGTTAAAAAATAAAAACTTAAAAATCTGTACATGAGAGAAAAAGAACATATAAGGTGAGCCAATCCATTTTAAATAAAGTCAGCGTTTAGGGAAAGTATATGTTAGAAAGAACATTTAAAGGTATTTAATATTTAGGGGGAGTGGGACCAGCAGTTAGTTTAATGGCTATGTCGCTGGACTCCCATGTAGTCGACCATGGTTTGAGTCCCGGAGCCAGTGGCTTAAACACGCTGGGCACGTGGTACGTGCATGCCTAAGATCCCAAGAGGAGAATGGAGGAGCAGGGATTGCAGCATGGCCATCCCCCCTGGGGGGTGATTTCTCGCTTTCTTACGAGCCCTATAGCAAAACCTCTCAAAAAAAAAAAAAATATATATATTTATTTATTTATTTATTTATTTATTTTTGTGCATGCGTGCCCAAGATCCTGAGAGGAGAATGGAGGAGAAGCGATTACTGCGTGGCCATCCCCCCAGGGCGGGAGTGAATTCTCACTTTCTGTCTCTCTGTCTCTCTCTCTCTTTCTGGTGAATGCACACACCCTATAGCAAAAACCTCTCCAAAAAAAAAAAAAAAAGAAAACATTTATATCTGTATCTATATATTTAATATTTAGGAACCAGAAGATGGCATAATGGTTACATCATTGGACTCCCATGTAGTCAACCACGGTTCAAGTCCTGGGCCCAGTGGCTTAAAACATACCAGGCACGTGTATGTGTGTGTGTGTGCCTAAAATCCCAAGAGGAGAATGGAAAAGAAGGGTTGTAGTGTGGCCATCCCCCCTTGGGGATGATGCCTTGCTTTCTGTCTTTCTGGTGAGTGTATGTGCCCTATTGCAAAAATCCCTCTAAAAAAAATTAGTATCTAAATATACAGTAAATTTTTTCTCACAGATTTCTCTGCCAGCCCCAAGACAAAAATCAATGATTCTTTTCATAATACATATTCTTTTCGTAATACAGTTTAATAAACGTTATGTCTCCCATCCTACCTGAATTTATACTATAATTAGTTCTTCTGTCTAAACTTGAGGGCAAGATTTTATTGCCTTATTTGTCTTTGTATCCTCAGTGCCTAAGCACAATGTGTTGTCCAGGGCAGGTGTTAATATATGTGAGGTTACAGTGAATTTTCATCTTATGATAATCACCTTGTCGAGAACATAGGATATGTACTAAAACAGTGCATACATTTCAACTGTGAAAGGCATTTAGCATAAACTTTGCATTTAAGTAATATTTACAGTACTTAGGATATAAGTGCTTGTAAGTAACATTGAACTCAACGGTTAAGTGCTACGCATAGAAAAACTGAATCCCACATGGCTGACAGAGGTTTGAATCCAGGCCCTGGCAACTTGAAAAGCATGCCCAGTGTGTACATGCATGAAAGGATAGAGAAATCAAGGAAAAGGATTGTAGCATGACCACACCCCATTGTGGGTCACTTTCTCTTTCTCTCTCTGAGGCTTGCCCTCTGGCAATTAAAAAATAAAAAGAGGGGCCAGAGGAGGCATGGTGGTTGGGTGCACTGGACTCCCACATGGCCAACCACAGTTCAAGTCCCAAACCTAGCAGCTTGAAAGTCATGCCAGAGGGGCTGGAGGTGGTGCAGTGGTGAAGGTGCTAGACTCCCACCTGGTCGAACACAGTTCAAGTCCCAGACCTGGTGAGTTGCTTTCTCACTTCCCTTTCTCTTTCTCTCTATCTCTCTCTGGTCAAATAATAATAATAATAATAAATAAAATAAATAATTCATTAAAAAAAATCATGCAGGGTATGTGTGCATTCATGGCCCAAATCCTGAGAGAACGGAGGAAAGGGGATTGTGGACATGGCCATTGCCATAGGGGTGGGAGCTAATTTCTCACTTTACCTCTCTCTGTCTCTCCAGCAAGCACATGCTCCCTGTGGCAAAACCTAAAAAGGGAAAAAAAAAACAAAAACAGAAACAAAAACATTCAGTATTACCTATCGGGTGTTCTTCCATAGTGCAGGGCAATCTGCTGCTCAATTCCTCCTGCAAATCTTCAATAAGACGGTAAATGACTTTATGAAGTTTAATTTTTACTCCTTTTTTTGCAGCCAACTGCTGGATAACATTGCCTGCATTCACATTAAAGCCATATATAACACCTGGCAAACAGAAATACAATCAATAAAGTATTACAAATATTGCATTCTAATGATTTCTTTACCTTTCACATAGAAACTCAAACGTTTTTTTCTCTTAAGAGGTTTTTGCCTTAGGGAGCATGCAGTCAAGGAGAGAGAGACAGAGACAGAGATGGTGAGAGGGAAAGTGAGAAATCACCCCTTGGGGGGATGGCCATGCCACAATCCCTTCTCCTCCATTCTCCTCCTGCGATCTTGGGTACACATGCACATGCACCTGGTGTGATTTTGAAGCTACCGGGTCTGGGTCTCAAACAGCGGTAGACCATGTGGGAGTCCAGTAACATAACCATTATACCATATGCTGGCCCCAGAAACTCAAATCTAAATTATTTTATTTCCTTCTATATACATTAAATAGGAACAGTAATTAAAGGATGTGAGGAATGCTTTTTTTCTCATGAAAACTTGTCTATTTTCAAACTGAAGAAAGACAAATTTATTAATTATACTCTGCCTTTTTAAACAAAGAAACATTTCTTTATTATTTTAAAACCATTCATTTAAGAAGTATTATGCCCTTGGGAACCAGCAGTTAGTGTAATGGTTATGTCGCTGGACTCCCACGTAATCGACCGTGGTTCGCGTCCCAGACCCGGTGGCTTAAAACTCACGCCAGGCGCATGTGCATGCGTGCCCAAGATCCCGAGGAGAATGGAGGGGAAGGGATTGCGGCGTGACCATCCCCCCTGGGGGGTGATTTCTCACTTTCTGTCTCTGTCTCTCTCTGTCTGGCGATCGCACACGCCCTACAGCAAAAATCTCTCCAAAAAAAAAAAGAAGTATTATGCCCTGTAATATACAGCCAATATGCTAAGCAAAGCTTTGACTTTTATGGCAGAGAAATAAGAAAACAAAAAATGATCAGAACTGAAACATTATTGCTTTGTCTTAACAATAATTCTAGTGTCAGATTATAATCTTATTGTTTACAACTTTTGTGTTTTACACTTAGGTATTTAGCTGGCCAAGAGATGCTGCAAAACAATGATTGAACTGGAAAAATTCAAGAGCTATTTTAAGAAGCAAAAGAAGTTTCACAGAGCTGACCATTTACCAAAGAACAACAAATATGGGCCAGCAGGTAGTGTGGTGATTAAAGTGCTGGACTCCCCCACATGACTGACCACGGTTGAATCCCAGACCTAATCACTTGCTTTCTCACTTTCTCTTTCTCTATCTCATATTGTCTTTCTCTGGTGTAACCCGTGTTCTGTGAACTTCAGAGTTATTAATTTGGGCTCTGAGTGTCTTGGTGAAGTGCGTTGCAACTTTAACCTTGCAGTATCCTCCTTTCCTTGTCTTCTTAAGCTTTCCCGCACAAATCACATACTGTCTCTAAGAGCCCTCTTAGAATGATACGCTCTTATCAGACAAGTCTTCGAGGAAGTTTGGATTACAATCCGAAATTAACTTCTGCACCTTACTTACTGTAGGACCGTCAGTAAAATCACAGTCCCAAGAGTCATCTTGATAAAGTGTTCTCTAATCATGCTGACTATTTATTTCCCAATAAGTAATTAGCCAAGGCATCAGTTTCTTTTTCTTTCTTTAAAAAAAAAAACAAAAACAGAAACAAAAACATTCAGTATTACCTATCGGGTGTTCTTCCATAGTGCAGGGCAATCTGCTGCTCAATTCCTCCTGCAAATCTTCAATAAGACGGTAAATGACTTTATGAAGTTTAATTTTTACTCCTTTTTTTGCAGCCAACTGCTGGATAACATTGCCTGCATTCACATTAAAGCCATATATAACACCTGGCAAACAGAAATACAATCAATAAAGTATTACAAATATTGCATTCTAATGATTTCTTTACCTTTCACATAGAAACTCAAACGTTTTTTTCTCTTAAGAGGTTTTTGCCTTAGGGAGCATGCAGTCAAGGAGAGAGAGACAGAGACAGAGATGGTGAGAGGGAAAGTGAGAAATCACCCCTTGGGGGCGCGGATAGCCACACCACAATCCCTTCTCCTCCATTCTCCTCCTGCGCTCTTGGGTACACATGCACATGCACCTGGTGTGATTTTGAAGCTACCGGGTCTGGGTCTCAAACAGCGGTAGACCATGTGGGAGTCCAGTAACATAACCATTATACCATATGCTGGCCCCAGAAACTCAAATCTAAATTATTTTATTTCCTTCTATATACATTAAATAGGAACAGTAATTAAAGGATGTGAGGAATGCTTTTTTTCTCATGAAAACTTGTCTATTTTCAAACTGAAGAAAGACAAATTTATTAATTATACTCTGCCTTTTTAAACAAAGAAACATTTCTTTATTATTTTAAAACCATTCATTTAAGAAGTATTATGCCCTTGGGAACCAGCAGTTAGTGTAATGGTTATGTCGCTGGACTCCCACGTAATCGACCGTGGTTCGCGTCCCAGACCCGGTGGCTTAAAACTCACGCCAGGCGCATGTGCATGCGTGCCCAAGATCCCGAGGAGAATGGAGGGGAAGGGATTGCGGCGTGACCATCCCCCCTGGGGGGTGATTTCTCACTTTCTGTCTCTGTCTCTCTCTGTCTGGCGATCGCACACGCCCTACAGCAAAAATCTCTCCAAAAAAAAAAAGAAGTATTATGCCCTGTAATATACAGCCAATATGCTAAGCAAAGCTTTGACTTTTATGGCAGAGAAATAAGAAAACAAAAAATGATCAGAACTGAAACATTATTGCTTTGTCTTAACAATAATTCTAGTGTCAGATTATAATCTTATTGTTTACAACTTTTGTGTTTTACACTTAGGTATTTAGCTGGCCAAGAGATGCTGCAAAACAATGATTGAACTGGAAAAATTCAAGAGCTATTTTAAGAAGCAAAAGAAGTTTCACAGAGCTGACCATTTACCAAAGAACAACAAATATGGGCCAGCAGGTAGTGTGGTGATTAAAGTGCTGGACTCCCCCACATGACTGACCACGGTTGAATCCCAGACCTAATCACTTGCTTTCTCACTTTCTCTTTCTCTATCTCATATTGTCTTTCTCTGGTGAGTACATGTGCCCTGTAGCAAATTAAAAACAATAATAAATAAAATTAACTAATTCTAAAAAGAAGAAAAAAGAAGTCATTTAGTACGCTACCGGTATCACATAGCCTAGTACTAGGACAGTTAGCGCCTAACAAATGTTAAGTTGTCAGGAAAGTCATGACGTATTTTTCTATGCAAAAAATGGATCATGACTTTCCTGATAACCTAATATTTTGAGTTAATTGGCATTACTGAGTATACTATTGCAGGGACCAGCAGTTGGCGTAATGGCTATGTTGCTGGACTCCCATGTAGTCAACCACGTTTCGAGTCCTGGACCTGGTGGTTTAAACTCAAGCCACGTGTGTATGCATGTGAGCCTAAGATCCCGAGAAGAGAAGGGAGAAGGGACTGCGGTGTGGCCATGCCCCCTGGGGTGTGATTTCTCGCTTTCTGTCTCTCTCTCTGTCTTTCTGGCGAGCACATGCGCCCTATAGCAAAAACCTCTTAAAAAAAAAAAAAAGAGGAAAAAAGAAAATACTATTGCGGTAGTAGCAGCACCACCTAATTCTGATCAAGTCAGGATATAAAGTCTTTCTTGATTAATTAATCACTGAACAATGTGAATACTGAACCTAGTTAAATGGACAATCATGAGTCCCTTTCTTATGTATCATAAATTCAGCTAATAAAGACATTCTCCCTACTTTCTAGGCAATTTAAAACTAAAAGGAGCTTTTGATTTGAAAGTATATGTTTATAAAGTTATCAAAGAACAAAAATAGGCAGCCAAAAGTAATACATAAATGAAAATACAGCATGGGCTGATTCCAGTGTTAGGAGCATTCAAAAGTCCAAATTAATGCAAGATACAGAGAACCAGCCTTGAGTTGGGTGGGGAACGGGGAGGAGGTGGAGAAGGGTAGTAATGTGCTTAAAAAGAAACCTTGAAATGTAATAGCTCCAACAAGGCTGTAGGACCACCACAAGTGGGGTTGTGGCTCAAAAGCTGTACCACCCATTTGACCTCTATCACTAGTTGGGTCTGGACTACAGTGGAAGGGTGATGCTGTCTGGAACGCATGTCAGGTGTGACAAGCCAAGTACCAGAAGACAGAAGCAAATGGTCACAGTGCAATCTAGGGAACACAATCACAGGAACAGGGCACAGAATACTTACCATCAAATGTCTCAGCAAGGTTGACATCATTTTCACTAATGTCGCCCACTCCAAAATGTACTAATTCTAGTTCACACTCATGTGAAGAATCATAGGTATCCACAACGTTCAAAATAGCCTCAACGGAACCATCAACATCACCTAATTACAGAGAAAGTTTAAAAGTTTGGTGTTAAGAGTAAGGCATCCATAAATACAAGAATAACAATAACTCACTAAAAGCCATCATAGAGATGGCATTCATCACTAAATCTTACACTTTCATTTAAGTTGAGCATTACAAATATCTACTTAATAAAATATAATGAACTAAATGTATATTTTCAACACAATCAGTAAGAAATAGGTTTATTCAGAAAACGTCCCCTAAAACACTAAAATAATTTTCACTTAAACATAAGAACATAAACAAATCATGAAAGTAAACAAATACATGTATTAAAAAAATAAGTTATAAAGTACAATTTCTAAAAAGGCACCTTTAATAATTATAGGAAGTACATTTGAATCTCTTTTGATTTTCTCTTTTGGCTTTAAGAGTTTTTGTTCTTTCCTTTCTATGTACTTTATAAATGACCTCTCCTTCCAGTGCAAAGTGCCATACTTCTCACGGGATTTCCGATGTGCTTCTTGGTGTTCCTTTCGCTTTTCTTCTATTATTTTCAGATCTTCTTTATTTTTCTTCTGTTCTTGGTCATACTTTCTCCAATCAACAACTTCACGTGCCCTTGGCTTTACAGGGGGAACACTGGCATTATTTAATGAAATAGATACCAATAATTGTGAGGTTAAAGGACTATGTGTATTTCCGCATATTAAAACTAGTTTAGGGACCAGCAGTTGGAGTAATGGCTATGTTGCTGGACTCCCATGTAGTCAACCATGGTTCAAATCCCAGACCTGCTGGCTTAAAATTCATGTCAGGCACGTGTACATGTGTGCCCAAGATCCTGAGAGGAGAATGGAGGAGAGGGGATTGCGGCGTGGCCATCCCCTTTGTAGTGTGATTTTCTCGCTTTCTCTGTCTTTCTGGCATGTGCACGTGCCTTATAGTAAAAACCTCTCAAAAAAAAAAAAAAAAGAAAAAAACCAAGCAGCTTAACTTATATATGAAACCACTAATATATTTTTTTAAGAATGATTTTTAGTTTACTTTATTTATCTTCTTTTGATCAGAGAGAGACACAGTGAGAGAGAGTGAAAGTGAGAAGGCAAGCCGCCAGGTCCAGTCCAGGACTCAAACCATAGGAGGCCATGTGGGAGGGAGTCCAGTGCCCTTAATCACCACGCCACCTGCTGGCCCCAAGAAACCAATATTTTAAGTTTCAAGAAATTTAAAACATTTACATTTGGGAGCTTTATGTATAATTAAAGAGATCTTTTTTTTTTTTAAGATTTATATATTTAACTTATTTATTATTATTATTTCTTAATTTGACCAGGGAGAGACAGAGTGAGAGAGTAAGGGAAAGTGAGAAAGTCACCAGACCCAGGACTCAAACCACAGTCGGCTATGTGGGAGTCCAATGCATTAACCACCATGCCACCTGCCAGCCCTGAGACTTAAAATTCTTTTTTTTTAAAAACTTGCTTTAGGGCATGTAGGTTGGTTTGAGAGAGATGGGGAAGGGGGTAACGGAGAAGGGAGTGAAAAAGCACCCCCCAGGGAAAAGGCCATGCCACAATCCCTTCTCTTCATTCTCCTCCCAAGATTTTGGGTGCACACACACCTACCTGGTGTGTTTTCCAAGCTGCTGGGTCAGGGATCTAAACCATACAGTCAGCCATGTGAGATCTAACTGCCTTAACCACTATACCACCAGCTGGCCCTTAGTTTAAAAATCTCATCTCGGGCCAACCTGTACCACAGCACTTAAGTGCAGAGGATAGAGAGCTAGATCACTCATGGCTGAAGCAGTCCGAATTTCAGCGCCAGCATCCTGAGAAACATGCTGGGCATTTCTGCATGAATGTCCCAAATCCTGATGGGATGGAGAAATGAAAGAACAAGGATTTGGGCATAACCATGCCCCATTTGGGAAGACTTTCTCTCTTCCTCTCTCTCTCTCTCTCTCTCTGGCAATTGTACATGCCCTCTGACAAAAAATTTATCACAAATCAAAACAAAAAAAAAAAATTCCAGTCAAATTGTAAAGTGGTACAACAGGTCCCCTCAAACCTCTTTAAAATTTGGAAATATTTGCTAACAAATATTTGCTAAATATTTGTTAAACTTATTTGGGGGACCAGCAGGTTGTGTAATGATTATGTCACTGACTCTCACATAGTCAACTGCAATTCGAGTTCCAGACCCAGTGGTTTAAAACTCACGCTGGGTGTGTGTTCGTAAATGCCCAAAATCCTGAGAGGAGAATGGAAGAGAAGGGATTGCACTCCCTAGGAAGTGATTTCTCATTTTCTGTCTCTCTGTCTCTGTCTCTCTGGTGAGCACACACACCCTATAGCAAAAATCTCTCAAAAAAAAAGAAATATATATATATTTATTCGGTATAACATCATACATTGGTATTTAAAATTACAGTATCATTTACCTCAGATTCTACTTCAAGAATTTCATCTCCTGCACAAGGAAGGTCTCTCCAGCCTATAATTCCCACTGGCATGCTAGGATAGGCTTCATTAATTGTTTTTCCATTTTCATCAAACATTAAGCGTACTTTTGCCCAACACTTTCCAGCAACCAGGATTGAACCTTTTCTCAAAGTTCCTCTTTGAATGATAGCTGTGGTAACAGGACTAAAATGAAAATAAAGCATATATGCTTAATGCCATAATCAGGATATAACTGTACTTTCTTAAGCAAGAGCAAAGGTATCTTTTTTTTTTTTAACTTGAGAGATTTTTGCTATAGGGCATGTGTGCTCGCCAGAGAGACAGAAACAGAAAGACAGAAAGCAAGAAATCCCCCCGCAGAGGGGATGACCACACTGCAATCCCTTCTCCTTCATTCTCCCCCTGGGATCTTAGGCACACACGCACACATGCCTGGCTTAACTTTTAAGTTGCCGAGTCTGGGACACGAACCATAGTCTACTACATTGGAGTCCAGCAACATAACCATTATGCCTTCTGCTGGTCCTGAGCAAAGATATCTTTATAGGTTTAAATGTACATTTTTTTAAAATTTGACTGTATTTATTTATTTTTAATTTGACCAGAGAGGGACAGAGTAAGAAAAAGAGAGAGAAAGAGAGAGAGAGGAAAAGTGAGAAAGCAAGCCATCAGGTCCAGGACTTGAACCGCAGTTGGCCAAGTGGGAGTCCAGCGCCCTTAACCACCATGCTACCTGCTGGCCCCAAATGTACATTAATATATATGTACACAGTGTTAATTCCACCTCTCATCAACTTCTCAAGCAATTTTTCGTACTATAAAAACATTACTTCAGAATAGCCAAGAGGCAGAAGCAGCACAAATGTCCATCATCAGATGAACGGACATTTTATCCAAAGAAAATGTGGTATACACACCCAAAGAAATGTTAGGCAACCTTGAAAAAGAATGAAATGCTATCACCTGCTACAGCAGGGATAAAACTCTAGGACATCATTATAATAAGTGAAATAAGCCAGTCAGGAAGGACAAATATTGTGAGTCTACTCAGGTAGTATCTAAAATAGTTGGAATCATAAAAACAGAAAAGAGAGAGGCCAGTGGATGGCATAGTGGTTATATTACTGGACTCTCAAATAGCTGACTGTGGTTCGAATCCCAGTCCCAGTGTCTTGAAACTCATACTGGGCGCGTGTACATGCGTGCTCAAGATCCCAGGAGGAGAATGGAGGAGAAAGGACTGTGGTGTGGCCATCCCCCCTGGGGAGTGATTTCTCAATTTCTGTTTCTTTGGCAAGTGCATACACCTTATTGCAAAAATCTCTCAAAAAAAAAAAAAAAACCCAAAAAAGAAAACAGAAAACTGGTGGCCCAGGCTGGGGAGAGGAAGAATGGTCAGTGGTTAATGGTCTTTTAAAGAGTTTTACTTTTACAAGATGAAAGAGTTCTAGAGATCGATTGTACAACAACATAAATATACTTAGCATGACTGAATTGAATATTTAAAGGTTAACATGGTAAATTTAATGCTTCATGTTTCTTTTTTTTTTTTGAGAGTTTTTTGGGATAGGGTGTGTGCGCTTGCCAGACAGACAGAGAGAGACAGAGAGACAGAAAAGCAAGAAATCACCCCCCACGGGGGATGCCACACAGCAATCCCTTCTCTTCCATGCTCCTCTCGGGATCTTGGGCATGCACGCACACGTGCCCAGTGTGAGTTTTAAGCCACTGGGTCCAGGATGCAAACTGTGGTCGACTACATGGGAGTCCAGTGACAGAGCCATTACGCTAACTGCTGGTCCCAATGCTTCATGTTTCTTACCATAATAAAAAAAACAAAAACTAGTTCAGCAATGTTATGCTAGGGGGGAGGCAGTGAGCAGTGCGTCCTGACAGAATCATAGTGCGCTTTCTACTCTACTCTCCTCATCAAAAGACGGCTCACAAATGTTAGAGAATACAGCAGCGAGATGACCTCTCTTGCTGATAGTGCACCATTTCAAATACTTTTCTCTGTTACATGTATTAATGAGTAAGGTCATTAAAAATTGAGAAAGTATAAAAAGCAATAACTGATATTTCGTTCTTTAAGAATTATTTATTTTCCTTCCTTCCTTCCTTCCTTCCTTCCTTCCTTTATTTTAATTTGACCAGAGAAGGACAGAGTGAATGAGAGAGAGGGGGAAAGTGAGAAAGCAAGCCACTCCAGGTCCGGGACTCAAACCACAGCCTGCCATGTGGGAGTCCAGAGCCCTTAACCACTACACTACTGCCAGCCAGCCCAATAATTGATACTTTATTCTAATTTATGTTTGTCTTTGAGTAGTTACCAATTCAGTCAAGTTAGTGGGGAAAAAAATCAAGTTAGTGGGAAAAAAAATTTTAGTTAGTTGACTAAATATGGTTAGCCACTGTGGTCATACAGAGAGTTGCTAAGGTCTACTGCTAATAACTGTATTTTTTGTGTTCTGTGTGTTAGTACAATAAAATACTTCCAAAGGGAACCATCAGGTGGCGTGGTGGTTAAGGTGCTGTACACTCCCACTGTTCAAGTCGTGGACCTGGTGGCTTGCTTTCTCACTTTCCCTCTTTCTCTCTCTGGTCAAATTAAAAAAAATAAATTAATGAATAAATAAAATAATAAAAAAAACTTCCAAAAGAATGCTGTAGGACCAGAAAGTAGCATGGTGATTAAGGTACTGGACTTAAACATGGCTTAAATATCATGCTAAGTATGTGTGCATGAATGCCCAAAACCCCAAGAGGAAAATAAAGGAGAAGGGACTGGAAGATGATTTCTTTTTTTTTTTTTTTTTTTTTTTTTTGGGCACGTTTTTTTTAGTGGTGAGAGAGATTTTTGCTATAGGGCGTGTGCGCTCGCCAGAAAGACAGAGAGAGACAGAGAAACAGAAAGCGAGAAATCACCCCCCGGGGGGATGGCCACACTGCAATTCCTTCTCCTTCATTCTCCTCTCAGGATCTTGGGCATGCACACATGTGCACCTGGCGTGAGTTTAAGCTACCAGGTCCGGGACTCGAACTGTGGTTGGCTACATGGGAGTTCAGTGACATAGCCATTACGCTAACTGCTGGTCCCCTGGAAGATAATTTTTCACACCTGTCCCTTTCTGTCTCTATCTGGTGAGTGCATACGCTCTATGGGAAAAACCTTAAAAAAAAAAAAAGCTATAAAAATATTGTTTGTGGGGCCAGTCCTACAACCTTGTAGTTAAAGGGAGCCAGGAGCCAACTGGCCTACCATGCTGTAAACCCCAGCTTAGTGGCTTGAAAATATATACTGGGTACATGTGTGTACCCAAAATTCTGACAAGAGGGAGAAAAAGAGAAAAAGAGATTATGGGGTGACCATGCCCGTTGGGGAGATACATTCTCTCTCTCCTTCTCCTTCTCTCTCTCTCTTTCTGGCACGTGCAAATGCCCTCTGGCAATAAAAAAGTTCATGAAAGTAACATGCAGTAACAGTAACATTGCTAAGTGATAAAGTCATAAAAACTATGCAACAAAATTATAAAAAAGCAAACAGACCTACCCTCTTCCTTTGTCTGTGAAAGATTCTATAACTGTTCCTTCCACTGGACCGGTGGGATCTGCTTTCAGTTCTAACATTTCTGCAAGAGCAATTGTTGCTTCTGCCAAAGCCGTCAGATTATCACCCTTCAATGACAACAACAAAGATTATTAATATACATTAATAAATATTATTTTGAATATAAATACAAGGGTCAGAAAGTCAAATAATCCTTGACAATTTTTTTTTCTTTTTTTGAGAGTTTTTTTATTATAGGGTGCATAGGCTCACCAGAGAGAGACAGAGAGAGAAGGTGAGAAATCACCCCGCATCGGGATGGCCACACTGCAATCCCTCTCCTTCATTTTCCTCTCAGGATTTTTAACACACATGCACACACACCTTGTGTGAGTTTTAAGCTGCCGGGTCTGGGACTGGAACTGTGGTTGACTGCGTGGGAATCCAGCAATGTAACCATTATGCCATTTGCTGGTCCATATACTTTTTTCTTTAAGTACTGAAAAGATGAAATACTGGGACCAGCAGTTAGCGTAATGGCTATGTTGCTGAACTCCCACGTAGTTGACCACGGTTTGCGTTCCAGACCCGGTGGCTTAAAACTCACTCCGGGCACATGTGCGTGCGTGCCTGAGATCCCGAGAGGAGAATGGAGGAGAAGGGATTGCGGCATGGCCATCTCCCCTGATGGGTGATTTCTCGCTTTCTGTCTCTCTATCTCTCTCTGTCTGGCGAGCGCATGTGCCCTATAGCAAAAAAAAACCTCCCCCCCCCCAAAAAAAAAGATGAAATACTGACTTTAAAAAAGGAAGGAAGAAAAGGAAGGAAGCGCAAGAAGGAGGTAAGAGATAAGTAAGAAAAGCTGACCGAGATGGGTCTTACAAAGAACAAGCAGCCTTTTTTTTTTTTTTTAGGGATTTTTTGCTACAGGGCATGTACATTTGTTGGAAGGACAGAAAGTAAAGAATCACTCCCTAGGGGGGATGGCCACATCTCAATCCCTCCTCCTCTGTTCTTCTCCCAGGATTTTGGGCACACACATGCATGTGCCCAGCATTGAGTTTCAAGCCACTGCATCCAGGACTCCAACTGTGGTTGACCACGTGGGAGCCCAGTGACTTAACCACTAAGCTACCTGCTGGCCCCAACAAGGTATTCATATATTTCTTTAAAAGTGACAGAGACAGAGAGACAGTACCTCCAACAGGGTCTTTTTTTTTTGGAGAGGTTTTTGCTAGGGCACATGCGCTTGCCAGAAAGAGACAGAGAGACAGAAAGCGAGAAATCACCCTCCAGGGGAGATGGCCACACCGCAATCCCTTCTCCTTCATTCTCCTCTCGGGATCTTGGGCACGTACGCACATGCACCCAGTGTGAGTTTAAGACGCCAGGTCCGGGACTCGAACCGGGGTCAACTACATGGGAGTCCAGCGACATAGCCATTACACTAACTGCTGGTCCCCCAACAGGGTCTTGACGCAAAGATATAATCCCTTCCTGAACCAGCCCTGAATCATGGGAACAAACCATGTATATTCTGGGAGGTCTCCAGATGTGAACCTGGAATCCTCCCCTGTGAGTTAGCCTCACAGAGCATCAAATTTTACTGCTGCACCACACCATGCATGTGGTAGATTTTTTTTTAAAGGACAGTCACTGGGGGTGCTTGTTAATACCCTTTCACAACTATATGCTTCATTCATTCTTTTTTCTTCCATCTGTCTCTACAATTATTTTTTTCTTCTCACTAATTTCTTAATGATGCTACTTTACATATGAAGTTCTACCTAACTGAATAAGCTTTCGCGATTATTTAATTTCATCTACTCAGGAATCTTGTAAATAAGTAAATTAAGCACTACTCCCCCACATTAAATAAACGAGGAGAAAGCAGTAAGGCTCTAAGCCACGCTGCAACCACCCAGCTATACAGTCTTGAAAAATCATTTCATCTCCCTTGATTTCCCTTCCTCAATCATAAAATGAAAAAGTCAGATCAGATGATTGTTTTACCTTTAATGTCCTATATTTTCCATGCTATCTAGGGCTCTACCATCAAACAGCTGATTAACTGGTGATGAAACTGGAACTGATTGATGGGCAATGGGTTTTTTTCACTGTCCATGTCAGCTAAGAGATTGCACACAGTTGAAACAGTATAGAACAACAGAAAACTGTATTTAAAAAATTGATGAAATACTTTGCTTACCCACTCACTTATTCCTAGTATCTCTTCCAATTTACAAAATGCAAGGGACCAGCAGTTAGCGTAATGGCTATGTCGCTGGAGTCCCACGTAGTCGACCGCGGTTTGCGTCCCAGACCAGGCGGCTTTAAACTCACGCCGGGCACGTGTGCGTGCATGCCCAAGGTCCCAAGAGGAGACTGGAGGAGAAGGGACTATGGTGTGGCCATCCCCCTGGGGGGTAATTTCTCGTTTTCTGTCTGTCCATCTCTCTCTGTCTGTCTGGCGAGCGCATGCGCCCTATAGCAAAAAACAAACAAACAAAAAAACTCTTCAATTTACAAAATGCTGCTCCAAAAAGGTGGCTTTCTTTGTATGTAGTAGTCCTCTATATCTTGAAAAACATGGCCTCACTTTACTTTCTTGCCAGTTCACTCTATTACCTAGGAATCATCTCAGCAGGCCGTCCAGTTTGCCTCAGCAGCAGTCAAGTCTTTCATTTTCTTTTCTTTTCTTTTTTTTTTTGAGAGAGGTTTTTGCTATAGGGCACATGCGCTTGCCAGAAAGACAGAGACAGAAAGCGAGAAATCACCCCATAGGGAGGATGGCCACGCTGCAATCCCTTCTCCTCTAGTCTCCTCTCTGGATCGTGGGCACACACGAACACATGCCCAGCATGAGTTTAAGCCACTGGGTCCGGGACTCAAACAGCAGTTGACTACATGGTAATCTAGCAACACAGCCATTATGCCAACTGATAGTCCAGTCATTTTAATTTTTTTTTTTAAAGAGAGATTTTTGCGACAGAGGGTACGCACTCACTGGTGACACAGAGAGAGAGAAAGTGAGAAATCTCCCCCCCCCGGCGGGGGGATGACCACACTGCAATCCCTTCTCCTCCATCATCCACCAGGTGTGATTTTCTTTTTCCTCTTTTTAGAACTATTTTAATTTAATTTATTCATTCATTTATTTTAATTTGACCAGAGAGAGACACACAGAGAGAGAGGGAAAGTGAGAAAGGAAGTCACCCAGGTCCAAGACTCAAACCGTGGTCAGCCATGTGAGAGTGTCCTGCACTTAACAACCATGCCACCTGCTGGTCCCATGCCTGGTGTGATTTTCAAGCTACCAGGACCGGGACTCAAACTGTGATCGGCCATGTGGGAGTCCAGCAACGTAACAGCTAAGCCACCTGCTGGTCCCAGAGTTTATCATAAATAACATAAAGCAAATAGCACTTAAATCTATAAAAATATTCTGTCAACCAAGGGGCCGGCGTGGTGGTTAAGAATGCTAGACTAACCATGGTTTGAGTCCTGGACCTGGCGGCTTCCTTTCTCACTTTCCCTCTCTCTCTCTTGGTTTCACTCTGTCCCTCTCTGTTCAATCAATCAATCAATCAATGAATCAATCAATCAAGTTAAATAAAATAATTATTTAAAAAATATTCTGTCAATCAATTTTTAAAAATCGACCCAATTAATCTCTGTATTAGTGAAATTTTTGTTTAAATATCTCTTAAATGCCCCAAGGTCTATTCTATAATTTTTCAGTTATAAAAGGCATGAAATATAAGTACTTTTTGTTACCAACTAGATTTTATTTTTCCTTAAAACACTTTTTTAGCAACTATTACCCTATTCCTACATCATTCACCATTTATTCTTATTTTATTATTTTTTCTTTATTTATGACAGAGTACCTATATGCATGCAAGAGTATAAGAGAGTGAGAATGAGTAAGACAGAGAGAGAGAAATACCCTCCTCAGGGTCTGGTCACACCATCGTCTTCCTCCAGTCCTCCAGCCCATCAAATCTTGGGCACTCTTGCATGTGGTCAGAATGTTGCAAGCTGACTGGGCTGGTGATTTAAACCTTGGCTCCCATGTGGAATCTGGCTTCTTTTGAATAATGCATTACTGGGACCAGCAGTTAGCATAATGACTATGTTGCTGGACTCCCACGTAGTTGACCACAGTTCGAGTCCCGGACCCGGTGGCTTAAACTCACGCTGGGCGCATGTGCATGCGTGCCCAAGATCCCGAGAGGAGAATGGAGGAGGAGGGATTGAGGCGTGGCCATCCCCTCTGGGGGGTGATTTCTCGCTTTCTATCTCTCTGTCTCTCCCTGTCTGGCGAGCACACGCTCCCTATAGCAAAAACCTCTCCAAAAAATAAAAAAATAATGCATTACTATTGTGCCATGGATCTGGCCCAATTCTCCTCCTTCTAAATGTCTCATAACAAAAAACGTGTTCGGGGTACCAGCCCCATGGCCTGGTGCTTAAGGGAGCCTAATCCCACATGGTCAATCATGCGGTTTGAGTCCCAGACCCAGTTACTTGAGAAATACACCAAGAAGAAGAAAAGCACATGTGTGTGTCTGCCCCAAATCCTGACAAGATAGAGAAATGGAGAAGAGATTGCCCTGTGACCATGCCCCATGGGCTGGGGGTGCTTCCTCCCTTTCCCTCTTTGTTTCTCTGTCTCTTTATGGCAAGTGCACACACCCTCTGGCAAAAAAAAAAAAGCCTTAGGTTTAAACCTGACACTCCACTTATTAGTTATGTAACTACCAAATCAGGATGATAAAAGCTATGTACAGTATCCAAAGAATTTTTTTAAACAACATATATTGCATATGTTGAAATGTTTTTTCATATAATGCACTGTGTATTATGTACAGCATTCCCATCTGTAATGGTTTGACTGCCACCATCAAAACATGCTGAGGGGTCAGCAGATGGTATGGTGATTAAGGAGCTAGATTCCCACCTGGCCAACCATGGTTCAAGTCCTGGATCTGGCTGCTTGAAAATCACACCAGGCTCATGTGTGTGCTTGCCCAAAATCCTGAGAGGAGAATATTAAGGGACTGCGGCATGGGCATCCCCCAGAGAGTGACATTTTACTTTCCTCTCTGTCTCTCTCTGGGGAGTGCGCATACTCTATGGCAAAAACCCAAAAAGCAAAACAAAACAAACGTATACTGAAACTTGATAGGTAATGCAGCAATGTTGAAAAGTAGGCCTAGTGGGAGGTGCTTGGGACACAAGGCTGATCCCTTGTGAAGAGGTTAATGCTGGGGGGGAGTGAGTTCTTATTAAATTAATTCCCAAGAAAGCAAGTTGTAAAAAACAACCCCAGCCTACTTGCACTTCTCTCTTTGCATACCCACTCACCTTTCTATGTTTCCACTGTGGGGTAAAGTGACACCTGGCTATCACTGGAGCCCAGTAGATGCTGGAACCCTGCTTTAGGATCTACCAGCTATAGAATCACGAGCCAAATAAACCTCTTTTCTTTCTAAATCACCAAGTCCCAGTATTCTGGTACTGCAGCACTGAACAGACCAAGACACCACCTGAGTATATTCATCTCTGTGCCAGTATTTACCGTGAGTGCAGAGACATGCACTGCTTGAACGTCACCTCCGTAATCTTCGCACACCACATCGTAAGCCAGCAGCTCTTTTTTCACTTTGTCAGGATCAGCCTCAGCTTTGTCACATTTGTTTATGGCAAGGACAATAGGAACTGAAAAGTTAAGAAGAATGCAAATGAAGACATCTTTCATTAAAGGGATTCACAGTGAAAGATACCAACCTGTTCAGGCTTTCTCTTTCTTCAATAAATATACTTACCTAAAACAAGCCTAAAAGACCCACTTTAGTCACATTACCCTACTCTGTTCTCTACACACAAAAGAGGAAATGTTAAAATTGTGATTACAAAAAAATTCTGAATAAGACACCAGAGTAGATTTCTTTCTTTTTTTTAAAGCAATATTTTAGATAGAAAAAGGTCAACCTAGGGACTGGTAGGTGGTGCAATGGTTAAGGGCATTGAACTCCCACATGCCCAACCATGGTTCGAGTTCTGGACCTGACAGCTATAGCTTTCTCACTTTCCCTCTCCTTGCTCTATACTTCTCTGGTCAAATTAAAATGAACGAATGAGTGAATGAATAAATAAATAAAGTTAAATAAAATAATTCTTTTAAAAAAAAGAAGAAAAAGGTCAACCTAAAGAAAATCTCCAGAAAAAAATTCAAAAGAACTAGGGCTGGCAGGTGGCATGGTGGCTAAGGGCACTAGATTCCCACACGGCCAACTGATCTTTGAGTCTTGGACCTGGCGGCTTGCTTTCTCACTTTCCTTCTCTCTCTCACACACATTCTGTCCCTTTCCATTCAAATTAAACTAAAGTTAAAATAAGATAATTCTTTAAAAAGAAATTCAAGAGAAGACTAATTCAATACCATTAGATCATTTGCTTCTTCTAAGGCTTTATTAAGTCATTGCTAAAACATAACATTTCATTCTAGGTAAAAGTGAGTCTCATTGCAAAATTGTTTTTAAGATGTATGACAACTCTGGGTCTGGCAGGTGGCATGGTGGTTGAGGCACTGGACTCCCACATGGCCGACCACAGTTCACGTCCTGGACCTGACAACTTGCTTTTGCACTATACCTTTCTCTCTTCCTCTCTCTGTTCAACATTTTTTAAAAATAAGTAAATAAGGGAACCAGCAGTTAGCGTAATGGCTATGTCGCTGGACTCCCACATAGTCGACCGCGGTTCGTGTCCCGGACCCAGTGGCTTAAAACTCACGCCAGGTGTGTGTGTGTGTGTGTGTGCCCAAGATCCCGAGAGGAGAATGGAGGAGAAGGGATTGCGGCGTGACCATCCCCCCTGGGGGGTGATTTCTCATTTTCTGTCTCTAATGTCTCTCTCTGTCTGGCGAGCGCACGCGCCCTATAGTGAAAATCTCTCCACAAAAAAAAAAAATAGAAAAAAAATGAAAAAAAAAAAAGTAAATAATAGCAAAATTAAATAAACAAATAATCTTTTTAAATTTTACTTATTTTTTTTAAAGAGAGGTTTTTCTGGGGCCAGCAAGTGGTATGGTGGTTAAGACACTGGACATTCCCACATGGCTGACCACGGTTCAAGTACTGAACCTGGCAGCTTGCTTTCTCACTTTCTGTGTGTATGTATGTATGTGTGTGTCTGGTGAAATTAAAATAAACAAATGAATAATTAAAATATAATTATTCTTTAAAAAAGAGATTTTGCTATAGGGTGAGTGCACTTGCCAGAGAGACAAAGAGATAGAAAGTGAGAAATCACCCCCCAGGAGAGATGACCATGCCACAATCCCCTCTCCTCCAGGCTCCTCTTGGGATTTTGGGCAAGTATGCACATGTGCCTGGCATGAGTTTTAAGTCATCGGGTCCGGGACTCGAATAGCAGTTGACTATGTGGGAGTCCAGCGATGTAACCATTACACCATCTACTGGTCCCATATTTTTTAGAGAAAAATTTTTGCTATAGGGCATGTGTACTCACTGGAGAGACAGAGGGAGATGGAAAGTTAGAAATCCCCCCCCCAGGGGGGATGGCCACACTGCAATCCCTTCACCTCCATTCTTCTCTCGGGATTTTGGGCACACATGCCCAGTACCAGATCTAGGACTCAAACCACAGTTGACTATGTGGGAGTCCAGCAACATAACCATTATGCCATCTGCTGAATCTAACAAATTAATTCTTTAAAAAAAGATGTATGGAACTCTTCATTCATACACCTAGCTCAGTGACCAACACCCAGTAGGTGCTCAATAAATGTTTATTTAATGAATGAACTAAATAATCTTATAGTCTGCTTGTCATCGATAGACATATCCTCTCATTGGTTAAGTTTTACCATCTCTACAATTTTCTCAGTTATCAAAGAAACAGAAATTGAAAAGACATAAAAAAAGTTTTAGAATCTACAATCTACAACTGTGAAAAGTATCTTCCATATTTTTTTTTTATTTTTTTATCATCATATCTTCTTCATATTACATTGGATTACATATAACTTTACTGTGTATTACATTGTTTCTTCAAAAGGGAATGCCATGCACGTCAGTCAGTACAGAGACATTAATCTCCCCACTTCAACATTCCATATCTTTTCTGTTTTCCCCAATCATTATCTTTATTATTCTAATTATTTTTATAAAACAGTCAATTGCTATTTCTCGTTTTGCTTGTAAAAATACTTTGCCCATCATGAAACACTTCTCAGACCAATCCAGTTGAGAATACTATACATGGCATCATCAACAGTTAATAAGCCCTATCTGTTTCTCACTAACGTCCTGTCTCTCTATTGTTCACTTGCTATCTTTCTCTATCCTCTTCTCTTCACTTACCCCATTCCACACTGTCCTATTCTCATTAAGTACCTTCACTGTGTTTATGTCCTCCGAATTTTTGCTCTCTATTATAGAGTGCGGATAGTCGGTATATATTGAGTGGATACATACAATATCTTTCTTTCATAGCCTGGCTTACTTCACTCAGCAATAGATCCTCCGTATCTGACCATTTTCTATCAAATTCCAGGGTCTTGTTATTTTTTATGGCTGAGTAGTATTCCATAGAGTATATATACCACACTTTTCCAATCCATTCATCAGTTTGTGGACATTTAGGTTGGTTCCATGTCTTGGCAATTGTGAATAATGCTGCAATAAACATGGATGTGCAAGCACTTTTCTGACTGAGCGTTCTCCTGTCTTTTGGGTAAATACCCAGAAGTGGGATTGCTGGATCAAATGGTAGTTCTATTTGTAGATCTTTGAGGAACCTCCATATTGTTCTCCACAGTGGTTGAACTAGTTTACATTCCCACCAACAGTGTAGGAGGGTTCCCTTTTCACCACATCCCCGCCAACACTTATCACTTTTTATATTCTTAATCTTTGCCATTCTGACAGGGGTTAGGTGGTATCTCATTGTGGTTTTTATCTGCATCTCCCTTATGATGAGGGATGTTGAACGCGCGCGGCTGCTCTATTTTACTTATTTATAAGCTGAACTTAATTGGGACTAAGAGAACAACTATAGAAAGCATGATACAATTAATTTATCCTATTTCCAACAACTGTTGTTTTTGTTTTGTTTTGTTTTGTAATAGGGCGTCTGTGCCCACCAGAGAGAGACAGAGACAGTGAGAGTTTATAAAATGAGAAACCACCACCCCCAGGGATGGCCACACCACAATGCCTTCTCCTCCACTGTCCTCCTAGGACTTTAGGCACACATGCAACAAGCACCTGGCATGACTTTCAAGCTGTCTGGTCCAGGACTTGAACCACAGTCAGTCATTCTGGAGTCCAGTTCCTTAACCACTGTACCACCTGCTGGCCCCAACCCAATAACTGCTTTGTTATGGGATTCCCCACCAAATTTATCCTATTCTTCTTTTTGCCATGTATTGCCTAGAATCATTCCCTATCCACCATGTAGACTCTAGAATCATTAAGAAGAAAGGGCATCATACAAGACCAGTTCTGAAGAATTAAAAAGGAGAGAGAGGCCAGCTAGAGGGTGGTAAAAGTGGCTGGATTCTACATGGCCAATAGCACAGTTCTAGTCCTAGACCCACTGGTTTGAAAAACATGCCAGGAGTAAGGAGAAATAGAGAAGGAATTAAGAGATTGCAGCATGGCCATTTCTGCTGGGGAGTACTTTCTCACTTTCCTTCTCTCTTTCTGTCTCTCTCTTGACAGAGAGAGACATGCCCTACAGCAAATTAAAAAATAAAATAAGAGAGTAACATGAAGCTAAAAGATCTAGATTACAAATGTGGACATGTGCAAATTACCTGGATAACTGTATATAACTAGAGAGAGTTTTGGCTGCTATCTAGATTTTAGTTTTCATGTTGTAAGATGAGAAAATCAGACTAGATCAGTAACTCACTGTAAGGTAATGACACATTTCATCAGGCACTCAGGTATATTTTCTCAATAGAGGTAGATATAATATCATACTGGAATAAGAATAAATGCAGAGAACTGGCAGGTGGCACAGACATTACAGCAGCTGGATCCCACATGGCAGACTGTGCAGCTTGAGTCCTGGACCTGGTGGCTTAAGAATACACCAGGTGCACATGCATGCACGCCCCAAATCCCAGTGGATCAGAAGGGACTGCAGCATGGCCATACCCCAGAAAGGTGATTTCTCACTTCCCACCCCCAACCCTCCAGTGTATGCACCATATAGCAAAAACTAAAAAAGAATGAATGGGGGCCAGTAGGTGGCTTGGTGGTTAAGGCACTGGACTCCCACATGGCCAACTGTGGTTCAAGTCCCGCGCCTGGCAGCTTGCTTTCTCACTTTCCCTTTCCCTCTGTCCCTCTCTGGTCAAATTTAAATAAACAAAGTTAAATAAAATAACTCTTAAAAAAAAGAAAAAAGGAAACTTCCTTCATGATACATGTATTTTGGCCACACAGTACCTTGAGCATCTTTGGCATGTTGAATAGATTCTACAGTTTGTTTCATGACCCCATCATCTGCAGCTACAACCAACACGACAATGTCAGTGACCTGAGCACCTCGGGCTCTCATTGCTGAGAAGGCAGCATGTCCTGGAGTATCAAGAAAGGTTATCTTTTCCCCAGAAGGTAGAGAGACAAGAAAGAGAGAAATCCAGGAACACCAAGAATTCAAAGATGTACTTCCTTAATACACAGGAATATGCGTGGCACTATCAAACACAATCAATAATTCCTTAATATAATTTTATTCCTTTCATTAATCTGAATCAGAATACAGACAAGCATTTTACAATAAAAAGTGGTAAGATATCAGTGGGACCTTCAGAGTTTTCTTTCCATATAATTTCAAACTAAAACTTTATATTTCTAGAATATAACTACTTTCCCAAATATACCAACTGATACCTATTCTGGAGAGAGAACAAACTAGTCGGGGGGCAGGCAGTAACTCCTACTTTAGAGCCACAGAAAGCCCAGTTAATATACAGTTAGTAGTCCAGGATTTGAGTCCAACTACTTTGGGTTTAAATCCTGGCTTTGCCACCTCCTAGTTAGGTACTCTGGGTAAGTTACTTAACCTAAAGAAGTTTCCACCTCCTTATCTGTAAGATACGAATACCAGTCTTGTGATATTGAAAATTTTAAAAAGTTAAGTACATAAGGTTTCAGCACTGTGCTGGGCACATGCTAGGAATTAGTAAACGGTAGCTATTATTTAGTCATTATCAGCAACATTACCACAACCTAGCACTAAAGGTTACAGAAACATAATTAATTATGAAAAACAAACTAAGAATGAACTAGAAAAAAAAAGTTAGCATAATTTCCTTCTTATAAAAGGAACATAACCTTCAGTGGTCACTTGCACTACAATTTCATCAAACCAATGGCTTTAAGCTTCCCTTTGACTTTGACTCAATATTTCATATTATGACATTTGATTTCAGAACAATAAGTGGAGTTCCCAAGCGCATTGTAAGATAATTTGTGTTCATACCAAGAAAAGCACCAATGTGCTGGGTGATGCCTCCAGCTTCCATTGCTACCACTTGAGTTTTTTGAAGTTTGTCAAGTAATGTTGTTTTCCCATGATCAACATGGCCCATTATAGTAACGACTGGAGACCTTGGGGTTAATAAAGCTGGATCTGCCTGGGGCCTACAATTAACAGCAAAGCAGTTTTATTTCTCAAATTTAAGAAACACTAATATCGTATGAATTGGTTCACAGTTATGTCTGTGAGCTACCATTAACAATAAAACCCAACATTCACTTTAACTAGACCTATTTTCCCTTTCTATACATATGACTCTGACAAACAGTTCATGACTTTCTACCTATATTGGCATCTTCATAACAATGTGCAGAATTGAATCCAATTTTAAAATTCAGACCAAAGTACACAGTTTGTAAACTAAGAAACGTAACTCCAAAGTTTTGTTTTTGTTTTAGGTTTTTGCCGTAGGGCATGTGAGCTCACCAGAGAGACAGAGAAAGTGAGAAACTGGCTCCCAAGAGAGATGGATATGCCACAGTCCCTTCTCTGTTCTCCTCTCAGGATTTTGGGCACACACATGGCCAGGCGTGATCTTTCAAGCCACTGGGTCTGAGATTTGAACTGTGATAGGCCATGTGAGAGTCTAGCACCTTAACTACCTGCTGACCCCCATAACCCTTAAGTTTTAAAGTAACCTGAATACACCTTCCGATGCTTTAAGTCTTTTGAAGAGAAGTTTATCCTATACTCACACATCTTAACTATAAAAGAAATTTTAAGGCAATTCTTTCCATTAAAAAGTGTGAATAGGGACCAGCAGTTAGTGTAATGGCTATGTCACTGGACTCCCACATAGTCGACTGCGGTTCGCATCCTGGACCTGGTGGCTTAAACTCATGCCGGGCGCGTGTGTGTGCATGCCCAAGATCCCGAGAGGAGAATGGAGGAGAAGGGATTGCAGCGTGGCCATCCCCCCTGTGGGGGGTGATTTCTCGCTTCCTATCTCTCTGTCTCTCTGTCTCTCTCTGTCTGGCGGGCGCACACACCCTATAGCAAAAACCTCTAAAAAAGAAAAAAGTGTGAATAAAGCCATGTGGTTTCTTTCCCCCAATATATATGATTAAGTTTTACCTTTTTACAGCATCTTTATTCTCTCTGACTTTGTCCTGTTTTAATTTGCTCCATTTTAACTTCATCCCTGCCTTCTTTATCACTTCTTTGATCCAGACTTCATCTAAATAGGAGTCTGCTTCTAGGGAATCTACGTCAATAGCAGTGTTCAATAAGGCTTCATAGACATAATCTGGTTAGAATAAAATAAAACATTTCAGAATCATGAATTAAAGCTCCAAAGTGCTCTTTAATAATATTTGTATAAATAATACAGTCAATAAAAGGAATAACCGTATAAATTATGTTTCTCCAATGTTAAGAAACTGAATAAAAGCTGGAAAAGTTTTAACATTTTTGAAAATATAATACATTCATATTAACTGACATTTCAGAATATTCATAACTATTTAAATATTTACGTACCTCCTCAACCATTTGAAACACCAGTAGCACATTAAATTGCACATGTACACATTCAGTATTTAGATGACTGTAGTATATTTCTTTGAAAATGTGTTGTCACACATTACACATATACAAATACGTGTATAAGCTGTGCATAAACAGTCTGTTCTTGTTATTCACAATAGTCATGCTATAATGTTACCATAACTATTGAATTAGTGGACTTTTTTCTTCTTTTCTTTTTTCTTTTTTTTTGGAGAGGTTTTCACTATAGGGCGCGTGCACTCGCCAGACAGAGAGAGACATAGAGACAGAAAGCGAGAAATCACCCCCCAGGGGGGATGGTCACGCCGCAATCCCTTCTCCTTCATTCTCTTCTCGGGATCTTGGGCATGCATGCACACGCGTCCAGCCTGAGTTTTAAGCCACCGGGTCGGAGACGCGAACCGTGGTTGACTACGGGGGAGTCCAGCGACATAGCCATTACGCTAACTGCTGGTTCCCAAATTAGCGGACTTTTAAAAAAGAATTATTTAATTTTGTTTATTATTATAATTCTTCAATTTAACCAGAGAAAGACAGAAAGAGAGAAAAGGAGAGTGAGAAAGCAAGCTGTCAGGTCCAGGATTTGAAACTCTATCAGCCATGTGAGCATCCAGTGCCCCAACCACCATGTCACCTGCTGGCCCTGAATTAGTGCATTTTGGTTCACTGTCCTAAGAGGAAATAACGGTTATGTTTTTGCAAACCACTGGCCACACATTTTATCAACTTATTGAAACATAATCTTTTTTAAATAATTATTTTATTTAACTTTATTTATTTATTTAAATTTGATCAGAGAGGGACAGAGTGGGGTGGGGTGAGAAAGCAAGACACCAGGTCTGGGACTCAAACCACTTGGCCATGTGGGAGTCCAGCACCCTTAACCACACCACCTGCCAGTCCCTGAAACATAATCTTGTTTTACAGATTTCTTTTAAATATGTATTTAAAAATATATGGCTGATTAGTTAACATTGAACTCATGTCCAATAGCATCGTAACTCATGCCTAAACATGTTTTATTTGTTTGTTTGTTTGTTTTAAGGTTGCTGCCATAGGGCACATGTGCTCACTGGAGAGAGACAGTGAGACGGAAAGTGAGAAATCACCCTCCAGGGGGGGATGGTCACACCACCACACCTCAATCCCATCTCCTCCATTGTCCTCTTGAGATTTAGGGTATACATGCCCACACACACAGCATGAATTTCAGGGCACCAAGTATAGGACTCAAACCATGACTGGCCATAGGGAAGCTCGGTGCCTTCATCACTACACCTGCTGGCCCCTAAATATGCCTTTTGAAAACGTGATTTCCTCTGAGAGGCATCTCGCAGCTTTTTTGTGCTCAGAAACAATAGACAGCACTTCAGTATTACACACAGGAAGAATTTAAAATAGTGAAATCACCAAGGAAAAACACAAAAATATGCAAAAAACCATGGCACTCCCTGGGTCACAGAAAGGATTCTTGGTTTACAGTTCAAGAGGTTAAAAAAAAAAAAGCAGAGCAGGGAGCCAGACACTGGCACAGTGGTAGAACGTGACACTGTGAGGCAATCCTACATGGGAATGTTCCCAATTCAGGTCCATAGGCCACCCTGGGCACGTGTGTGCCTATGGTCTGGGGCTGGCTGAAGTCTGGGGTTGGATCACCGTGTTGGGACCCTGTTGTGGGTGCTATCTTTCACTCTCTCTCTCCAGTTCATGGAAGTAATAAATAAGTAAACTTAATAAAGGGGAAGAAAAAGGCAGAGCACTGCTTTATTTAATTTCAGCTAAGAACATGGGCACAGGGTGACTCAAATTATTCACTGCTCTGCGCATGTCCAAGAATAACTGCAAACGTGCTCTGAGTATTAATTTTTGAGCCACAAATATATATTAGTGAGTAGGTAAATTTGCAAATACAGAATTCATAAAAGTACCAGAATTGATAAAAAAAAAAATGGGGGGAACCAGCAGTTAGCGTAATGGCTATGTCGCTGGACTCCCACGTAGTCGACCACGGTTCGTGTCCCGGACCCGGTGGCTTAAAACTCACGCTGGGCGCATGTGCGTGCGTGCCCAAGATCCTGAGAGGAGAATGGAGGAGAGGGGATTGCGGCATGACCATCCCCCCTGGGGGGTGATTTCTTGCTTTCTGTCTCTATGTCTCTCTCTGTCTGTCTGGCGAGCGCACGCGCCCTACAGTGAAAATCTCTCCAAAAAAAAAAAAATGGGGATCACTGAATGTAATAGGTACACACAAACACAGGCAGTAGGTATCTGAATACACCTACCCACAATTTGTTTCCAAAAATCCTGAAATACAGGCAAAATACTTATTCTTTTTAATTTTATTTAATGTGCTTTGTTTTAATCTCAGATATATTTCCCTAGAGATCAAAATAAATGTATCGGGCATGCAGGAGGCACAGTGGTTAAAGTACAGGATGCCACATGGCCAACTCCACAGTTCTAGTACCCAAGCCAGTGGCTTAAAAAACACACCAGAGGCATGGCGAATAAAAGCATGTGTTTTGGAGCCATAGTCCTTGGGTTCAAGTCCTAACTCTACCATGAACTAGCTGTGAAATCACGGGCAGTAATGTATCTTCTTTATGCCTCACTTTCTTGACCTGTAAGTAAGAATATGGATTTCTAGATATTGTGAGCATAATAAAAATTAATACATCCAAAATAGTGGTACATATTAACACCTCAACAAATGTGAATGATTATTAATTCTTTCTTTCTTTCTTTCTTTCTTTGATTTTTTTTTTTTTGGGGGGGGAGAGGTTTTTCCTATAGGATTCATGTGCTCACCAGAGAGACAGAGAGAGACAGAGAGACAGAAAGCGAGAAATCACCCCCCCCC